ACGTGTTTCTAAGTCTTACCAATTTAAACATTCAAGCATTTTAAACCATTCATGCGCATGAAGAATTCAGTTTGGTGCTCGCGCGCACATAGAGCGTAATTTCCGGCAGAGCACAAACAGAATTGATTCCTCTTTCGCTTGAACGGACACATACAAGCAAAATTATCTCAAAATAACTATCTTGGCAAGTATTTTCATGTCTTAAATGAAGGTAAACAGTGGAGAAAGAAATCACACGTGCATCATTATATTGGATCCATGCATTCGGTCTTAAAGGGGCAGCAGCCTATAAATACCTGCTGTGTAAGCGCCACCTGCTGTCAGAGAGTGACATTTGAGTCTCATTCAGCCGTCGTTCAGATTTTTTATGTAGTATCACAAAGCTAAAGTCAGACCATTTTGTTTTTGTTTCAAATTTCAATTTGTTTCAATTTTACAATCTAAATGCAGCATCTTTGTTTGGATCGTGATTAAAATACACAGGTAAAACCTTAGTTTACGGAGTTGAGTGAATCGTTACATCCCTATATGCTACTAGTTTTTGATGTGGTATCGAAGTAGTAAAGTGTTACATAAATAATAAAGAACCATTTTTTTTTTTGCTTATCTGAAAAAATGAACCGATCTGTGACTCAAAATGTGATATGATAATGTAATATAATCCGAACCGTGAGATTTGTGATCTGTTGCACCCCTACTCTCTTGACTTGTCATTTGAAGAAAAATTACAATATCTTTTATTCGGGCTAGTTAAATTAATTTTTGGGCTACCAAAATCTGAAGAATGCCTGCCCGAAGGGCTACCAGGGATTTTTACATTTTGCGAGCCCTGGGGATCATCTTTTTAGTGGTCCTTTGCAACACTTAAAAAATTTGTAGCTTCCATTCACATTTATATGCATGCATCTGGCAGAGGCATTATGGAAAGCAACTCATACTGTATTCAAGGTACACATTATCAATTCATGCACTGCCCGGAGTAACGCTCACGCTCACCTGTTGTGATCCATCCCCATTAACATTAATCATGTGCGGCATCATGGTCACCTCCCCGTTCAATAGTGGTGGTGGCAGGTCCAGCGGAATCTGGTCTGTCATCATCATTGTGACGTACATTCATGGAGAACTTTCCTGGACTGCCTTTCTGTGAGGAGACAGGAAGAAAAAGAAATAGATGGTGAACAAACGCTCCAAAATAAAGTCATATGATCTTAAACTTGCAAACACACCCTCTTTGGGTGTCCTTGTTTTGTGCTGTGAGTAAGGTAGACGTGTACATTTATCTGAGATGATTGCACAATCTTTGGTTGGTTTGTGACGTTCGAGTGACTGAGCTAAAGCATAAATGGATGGAAGATGCAGAGTTGCACTGCGGTGACTCGGCAGGCAACTGAAGCCAACCGTAGAGCACAGCAGAGTCATTGTGAGCCGGGCAGCCCGAGGGAAGATCTCTTAAATGAGAAGAGGGTGTAACCAATGCAAAAGCAGACTACGGCCCCCCAGAGTTTGAGTTTTGAAACATGTAGAGCTTTCTTGATTGATTTCCCCACAAACAATGAACACCATTTTGATAGAAGAGCATTCAAAGGAAGCTGGTAATGATCCACCGGTATAGTGCTGCGTGACTGTGGTCTAATGGAGGAAAGAGGAAAGAGTTTGGGGAATGAAAAGGTGACTGAGTCATCAATGAAGGGTAAAGTGGAGCAATAGACACACAATTTCTTCATACTGGATGCAAGGCCACCCATTTGCAACATAAACACACACGTAAACTGTACCACCACTGTAAGAGAGGCACAACATGTGGCAGAGCCCTCAGGACCAAAATGCAGAGAGAGGGAGGGGGGAAAAAAATAAAATTTCTGACTTCTTCAGACCCTTGCACATGATTCACCAGAAGGCATACCAAAAAAATACTACGCCTCATAAGGACAGAAAATTGAAAAAGAAAGCTTTAAAGGGTATAGTTCACCCAACAAATGAAGACAGTTTTATCATTTACTCAGCCTCACACAGTTCCAAAACTTTAAGACTATTTTTCTCCTGTGGAAAACAGAAGACAACTTTTTTTCTTTTTTTGTCTACACAATGATAAGTCAGTGGGGTCCAGTGTTGTTTTGGACTACAATGACTTTTACTGTATAGACAAAAACAGCGGAGACATTTTTCAAAACATCAGCTTCCTTCATACAGGTTTTACATACTTTTACATAATAAAAGTCATACATACTGTACTTTTAAATTACATTGTTCAAAAGTGATGGTAAAGACATAATTTTACAAAAGACTTCTATTTCAAATAAAATTCAAAATTCAACATTCAACAACATTGAGAATAAGAAATATTTATTGAGCAGCAAATCAGCACGTCTCGCACAAAAGAGCCGCATGTTTAGAAAGTCATGTAAAATTAATGCAACTTTAAAAAAAACTTATCTCGAGACTTAATGGCGGGGATTTTCCCCATCCCACTGCAACTCGTGTTTTTAAATGAAAAATGTACTGTGTGATTGGCTTTCGGCCCTTTGTATTAAATTATGCATACATACATGATGCTGTTTGTTTGGGGAATGAAAAGGTGACTGAGTCATCAATGAAGGGTAAAGTGGAGCAATAGACACACAATTTCTTCATACTGGATGCAAGGCCACCCATTTGCAACATAAACACACACGTAAACTGTACCACCACTGTAAGAGAGGCACAACATGTGGCAGAGCCCTCAGGACCAAAATGCAGAGAGAGGGAGGGGGGAAAAAAATAAAATTTCTGACTTCTTCAGACCGTTGCACATGATTCACCAGAAGGCATACCAAAAAAATACTACGCCTCATAAGGACAGAAAATTGAAAAAGAAAGCTTTAAAGGGTATAGTTCACCCAACAAATGAAGACAGTTTTATCATTTACTCAGCCTCACACAGTTCCAAAACTTTAAGACTATTTTTCTCCTGTGGAAAACAGAAGACAACTTTTTTTCTTTTTTTGTCTACACAATGATAAGTCAGTGGGGTCCAGTGTTGTTTTGGACTACAATGACTTTTACTGTATAGACAAAAACAGCGGAGACATTTTTCAAAACATCAGCTTCCTTCATACAGGTTTTACATACTTTTACATAATAAAAGTCATACATACTGTACTTTTAAATTACATTGTTCAAAAGTGATGGTAAAGACATAATTTTACAAAAGACTTCTATTTCAAATAAAATTCAAAATTCAACATTCAACAACATTGAGAATAAGAAATATTTATTGAGCAGCAAATCAGCATGATTTCTGAAGGATCACGTGACACTGAAGACTGGAATAATGGCTGCTGAAAATTCAGTTTAGCCATCACAGTTATTTCAAATTGTAATAAAGTTTCACAATATTAGTTTTTTTAACTGCATCTTTGATTTAAAAAAAAAATGCAGCCTTGGTGAGAATAAGAGACTTCTTTCAAAGATTTTTGAAAAATCTTTAAACGGTACTGTGTGTGTGTGTGTATATATATATATATATATATATATATATAATTGCATTTTATACTGGTTTAATCTACACCTTATGACCAATGAATCACCATGACAAGCCTTCCTTCATGATTACTGTCTAAAGTCAAAACTGAAACCAAGCCGTTCACACAGAACACATATTTCGCGCATTTTCTAGAGGGACATCTATCACCGTTGCACTCGCATCTTGCACAAAGGAGCCGCATGTTTAGCAAGCCATGTAAAATTAATGCAAGTTTAACTTAGAAAAAAAACATATATCGAGACTTTATGGCTGGGTTTTTCCCAATCCCACTGCAACCCGTGTTTTTAAACGAAAAATGTACTCTGTGTGATTGGCTTTCCACCCTTTGTATTAAACTATGCATACAGACATGATGCTGTTTTGTTAGTTGTTTAAGCAACTTAATTAATTATAATGGTTTATAAACATTATTTTAAACATTATGCACTTTTTTTCACAGATAGTCATGTTATCTTATGCTTTGAATAAACGTGCATTAGTAATATTTTGCTCGATGCGCCCTCTTGTGGCCTCAGAAGAGAAGCCAAAAGATTTTCTTCACCCTAACTGAAATTATGCATTTTAAATTCAAATATAATTCGAATTTTGATAATATTTCATTACAAAATTCGAATTTAGTTTTTCAGCCATTTTGACAGCCCTATATATAAATAAGCATGGAATCATGACTCCAAAGCTCTAGCAATCCTTAGCCTTAGTAAAAAACAATAAAATGTCCTTTGGATACAGATAGTACATCATGTGCCATTTTACCCTCCATTCTGTTCTTTCCATTGATGTTAAATGGTTAGTTTTTCTGTGACTCACAGAAGCAGAAACATAAATCTGCAGTTATTTGGCAGCAGTTGGTTCACTTCAAAAGAGAGATGCAAACCCAGCTGAAGACACTATAAATGTTTGTAGACATCAGGACAGTGAAAATCTGATTCTTTGTCTGTGTAATAATGTGGCCCATCCACTCTCCCATTGTATCTCCATTCTTCTCTCTACTCTGTTTGACTTTCCATTCATCCTTCATTACCTTTTGCCCACTCCTCATGCTCCATGTTTATGCAGTGCATCAGGTGAGATTGACATGGTAAAACAAGAGTAAACCGTTTAAACAGATGGTGACCTCCTTTAGGCCCAGTCACGATCTGAGCTTTTCCTGATGATGCGGTCTCAGAGACAGCAGTGACGAGAACAGAATGTGGCTCTGGACTGGAAATGCAGGAAGATCAGCCTGGAATAAACCATCTTTCATCTGGTATTCTAGCATGGTGATGACTACCAGTACTGACCAGAGACCCAGTCAGACCTTGTCAAATCTTGACTATACTATACAATGATTGGGAGATGCTGATTGGCTGATGACACTACAAGAGTAGAGGTCGACCGATATGGGTTTTTCACTGGCCGATGCCGATATTTAGAAATCAGGGCAGCCGATGGCCGATATATGATGCCGATTTTTTTGGCCGATATGTTTGGCCGATTTTCTATTTTCTTTTTTTCATTCATCTCATAAAAGTGAGTTTGAGCAAATGATTATTGCAGGGTGCAAGATAGTAATAGTAGTAGTAGCCCAATTTAGAGTAATAATACATGGCTCAAAACTTAAGCACCTTCTCAAAACAGTTCTGAAGCATGCTTTTTGTTTATGTTTGCTGACAGACACCAGTGTTTCCCACAGACAGCTCTGCCAGCAGGAGGCGCTTTGGGAGCTGGAGATATAGTGGTTTCCCCGGTAACGGCTGTAATCAAATAAGCACTGCGCTCA